GTCTAGCACAGTGCTAAGCACATACTGGGGGCTCAGTAAATACTTGCTGAATGAATGAAGGAATAAATTAATGAATGAGCACAGGTGTATGTAATAATAATAGAGTTCATTATGACTCCACGAATTTCCTGGGTGATTTAACTGAAGGTGAAATCCAGGAAACCAAAGCTCCCCCTGCACTGCCTTAGGTTCCAACAGAAACCTGCTGAGTCCTGAGATAATGCTGGGGATGGAGGTGGGGATGGGGGGGAGAGTGGATTTGGCACCTGAGGGTGGGGCCACCCCTGACTGCAGGGTAGGGCTCCTCCCGCAGTGCCCTGCCGTAACTTTGGAGGAGTGGAGGCTATCTGGCCAGGATGGCCAAAGTCATTTCTTTCCTCCTTCCACATTCAACCCATCGGCTTGTCCTGTTGACTCTGTCTCCAAAACGTGTCCTCCATCCCCTCTATTTCCTCCATCTCCTCCACTCCTGACTCTTGCCTGGGCTACCGCCGCAGTCTCAAAACCAGTGCCCACGCTTCTGCCTCGGCCTCTCTGCCATCCACTCTCCACATGGTGGCCAGAGGGATCTTTCAAAACTTCCCTTACAAGGAATGTGTCTTTCTTTCCACGTACTCAGAGAGCTACGCTTCTAAAACTGTAACATACGTTCAAGTCATATGGGGATCTTGCTAAAATCTGGGTTGTGATTCAGTTGATCTGGGGTGGGGTTCGAGACTCTGCATTTCTAACAAGCTCCAAGGTGATGCAGTCATCTTGGACCACATCTAGAGTAACAAAGACCTAGAGAAAAATCCAAACTTCCTGCCCATGTCTTACTTTATCTGGCCACTGCCCAGCAATCTCACACCATGTCCAATCCCTGTTCTCTCTCATCATGCTGTAGCCAGCCACACTGGCCTTCATTCTGTTCCTGGAGTGTGCCAAGTTGTTCCTGCCTCAGCGCCTTTGCACATGGTGTTCCCATCACCTAGAATGCCCCTTTCTGGAGCTCTATGGGGCTTGCTCTTTACTTTATTTAGATCTTAGTTCAATGATCAATCAGAGAGTACTTCTCTGACTACTTCATCTAAGGAGGCACCTCATCCCCTGGGGACTTGCTATCAGCTATTTGATTTTTTTCCCTTCTCAGTACCTATCATTCTCTGAATTTATTTCAGTGATATATTTGTTGACTTGTTAGTTTCCTGTCTCCACTCACCTATGTTCCATATGACCAAGGACTTGGTTTCCTTCATTCTGGGCTATCCCAGAGCCAGGCACATGATAGGAACCCTGTTCATGTCTGTTGAGTCTATACATGAGCATGTTTGCCTGGCTGCTGTGGTGTGGAGATGCACATGGGGGCATCCAAGCTGGGAAGACTCAGAGTGACACTAACGGAGGTGTCTGAGGCAGAGGGGGAGGAGGGAATGAGCAAACTTTCCATACTAAGGATGCCACAGAAAAAGTCTCAAGAACCTGAGAAGTTGAAACTAAGAATCAACACATGATAGATGAATTCATCTAACCAGAAGAGACTCATGCTGGAAGATGGCGAAGGAAAGTAACTACTATTAGTTAAATGAGTTAAATAAGGCATCAGAGCAGAGCCCAGCACATAGTATTTATCAAATAAATAAAAATAAATATGTTGACCCCTTACTTGGTGACCATCACTTTGCATAATGATCTCCATTCATCCTCACAACACATAATCTCCATCTTGCAAATGAGGAGAGGGGCTATCAGATTAGGAGACTTGCTCAAGGTCAGCCAGTGATTCAGAGGTAGACTGAGAACCCCACTCACTAAAACAGCTCTACTGAAAGTTGCAAACGCTGCTCTCCCTACTTTCTGTTGCGCCATAGCACCTGTCACCACCTAATATACCGAGCAGTTCACTTATTTGTTTATTGTCCGTCTTCTCTCACCAGAATATAAATTCCCGAGGGTAAGGATCTTTGTTTTGTTCACTCCTGTTTCCCAGAGCCCAGAACAGGGTCTGCCACATAAGTAGGCATGATGAATAATTATTGAATGCTAAAAGGATGAATGAAGGAACTATTTAAAAATCCTTGCTTTCTGTATCTCTAGGAGGCAGTTCTGTAAATGTGTGACTGACAGCACACCCAAACCCAGTCAAGAAGGCTGGAGTGCATCTGAGATGAACTGGCAAGCAAGGCTGAGGCTTTCTGGATGCTTTCAACAAATCAGAAGGAAGACTGTGTCCACAGAAGAGGGACTGGCCACACGGAGCCCGGTGGGAGAGTAGTCAGGGAGCTGGTTTGTCCAATCTCCAGCCCCGACACCACTGCCGTGGTGGCATGGGTAGGTGTGGATGCCACTGGCTGGCAATGGCGCTTCTCAGGATATGGCTTTCCATATAAAGTGGCCCTGGGGAATAACGTGTCGACCAGGCCCCAGTGGCAATTACAAGCTTACCGTAAATGCATAAATAGGCACTTATCAGGAAATCTCTTGTGAATTGAATTAGAGTGAGTCAGTGGCTCAAGCCTGGCAGCTCTGGCTGCTGAGCAAATGGAGGTTCTGAACCAGCCAGGCTGCGCTGCGGACGTTCTGAGACAGAGTTCTCCTGGCCACTGACCTTCCTCTGTACCAAAGCTTCTCAAAGTTCCGCCTCCAGACCAGCTGCATCAGCATCACCAGAGAACTTGTTAGAAATGCAAATTCTCCAGCCCCATCCTTAACCTCCTGAATGGGAAACTCTGTGGGTGGGGTCCACCACTCTGTATTAACAAGCCCTCCAGGACATTCTGATCCAACCTCAAGTCTGAGACACAGTTTCTGTCTCAGGGCAATTATTATTGTGCTGCAGGGTGAGGAGGAGAGTCGGGGCGGGGGGTTAAGGTAACAGTCAGGTTGGGGGACATCATGGAGACAGTGCAGGGAGTCTTTTTATACATGAAGTGAGGATTGAAGCAGTAACTGTTAGTGGGAAGGGTCAGCAGTTGGGGAGGACGTCCCTGCGTTTCAGAAAATCTCCAGAGGAGGGGTTAGTTTGCAAAAGCACGTTTTAAAGTTATCATAATTTTGTTTTTTAGACCTCATATTTAATTTATTTTGAAATTTCAAACCACAGCAAAGGAAGGTGTTATATAAACTGCCACCCAGTACTGACCGTATGTATAGCTCAGGCAGGAAAACAATGCTTGGACTCCACCTCCTGCCCAATCCTCGTTCTCAAAACAAAGTATACAGTGTGTATATATAGGGGGGTGGGGGGGGGTGGAGTGGGGAGGGAGATAACCTACTAAGTGCCTAGGCCTGAGCTGGCCTGAGAGACAGGAGAGAACTCCTCAAGCATAGGACCTTGCTACAAGAACTCATGAAATGGGTTGCACAACATTATGGAGCCCCTACTGTGTGCCACGCACCGTATTTGGCTCTGGGAAGAGGATACAAAGATAAGTTAGCCAGCCACTTCTGCAGCCAAGGAGCTTACAAGAGAAAATTCGGAGGAGAGAGATTTCTTCTGGTCAGCAGATGTTGGAAGTATGGATGTGTGGGAACTTTGACAAGGGTCTTGGCTTCTCCGTTTAACCAGATAATAGAGCCCTTGTGAACTGGGAGGAGGTGAGAGGGGAAGGTGGGAGGATGGGTTGGGGCTTGAATTCTGAGTTAGGAGGCACAGAAAGGTGCAGACAAATAGAGGACTACCAGTCCGGTAGCAGCACTGTGCCCATGCCCACTGCTTGGTCTGGGGCCATGTTTAGGAGATCTGAGGTTAGATAGTGACAATTGCTAACATTCATCCAGTGACTCTACATGCCAATAGTCAATCTAGGTGCTGGGCGTACATTAACTCATTCTTCATATGAACCCTATGAGATAGGTATTATTATCACTCCTACTGATGGGGAAACTCAGACTCCCCCTTCCGGGAACCCAACAACGCTTTCGGCTGGTTCTGCCAAGTCCTTTACTACTGCACTTCCCAGCTATAATTTGAGAGATGAGGCCCCGCATATCTTATTTCTTCTTTGTACTGGAGGCTGTCTCCACTAGAACCCCTTAAATAGTGTCATCTTCCCACCAAAGGCTTCGTTCCCCAGCAAAATCCTTCCTACGCCAAAATCCAATGTTGGGGGTGGGGTGGTGGGGTGGGGGGAGTCGGCGGGTAACTACATTTTGAGTAGCGAAACCCCCGTGGCAGTGCGAAAGGAAAGCACCGAATGCCTGAACAGCAGAAATGCAGTTTCACCAAACACTTTTTGAAAAGCGGCAGAGGGAACCTGAAGGAGGTGACACAGCTAGGCAGCGGTCGAGTCTGAGTTTGAACCCAGGCCGTCTGCTTTAGTGGGCTCCCAAGCGCACGACAAATCAATGTGCAACCTCAAGCGTCTGGGCCGACCTGCTGGGTCGGTGGAGGGATGGGACGCTTATTTTGGTGGGTAAAGAGGGTCCAGAAGAAAGCCCTGATGTCTTTCTCCATGCCTGAGCATTCCCTTTGGGGTAGACAATCGAGACAGTTCACAGCGCTTTGTGAACCAGCTACAGGACAAGTACTTTAGGCCCCTTCCCACTAGATGGCGGCCCCTAAACCCACAAAGAGATTCCGGAGCCTCCACTGTCCCCATCTTCCAGGGTTCGGCTGCGGGTGAGGAAGGGCAAAATGAGCACCCTCCACCGCTCTGGGGAGCCGCGGACCCTGCCCCGCCCCATCCGGAGGTCGCGGGAAACCCCAGACTGGGGCGGGGGAGAGGGAAATGAGGCTCCTCAGACTCTGGGCGCCCGGGGGAGGAGCCGGCGCGGAGCAGCGACTCCCGGGGGGCAGAGGCGGGGCGCTCCTGCACCGCCCGCACCCGCCGTGGAGCGGCAGGCCGGGACTGCGGGGCGCCGGGCGCGGGGCGCGGGCCGGGCGGCAGGTGCGCGGCGCGGACTACAAGTCCCAGCATGCCCAGCTGCCCTGACCCGGCCCCCGCGGCCACTTAAAGGCTCCGGGAGCCGCAGCCGTCGGGTCGTCGCGGCTTTCGCTTTGCCGCCGCGGCTGGCTCTCCTTGCGTCCCGGCTCCGGCAGCGCCGCGGTGCGCTCCTGGTCCAGCCCTCCCGGCTCGGGGCTTCGCTTCCGAGGCGCCCGCGCCCCCGGGCTCCCCGCCTCGGCCACCCCGCGGCCCCGATGCCGAGGCATGGATAGAGCGGCGCTGCGCGCGGCGGCGATGGGGGAGAAGAAGGAGGGCGGCGGCGGGGGGGACGCGGCGGCCGCGGATGGGGGCGCCGGGGCCGCGGCCAGCCGGGCGCTGCAGCAGTGCGGGCAGCTCCAGAAGCTCATCGACATCTCCATCGGCAGCCTGCGCGGGCTGCGCACCAAGTGCGCCGTGTCCAACGACCTCACCCAGCAGGAGATCCGCACCCTGGAGGTAAGGGGGCCGCGGCGCGGGAGAATCGGGGACCCGCGTTGGGCGGGAGGAGGCAGGGGTCGGCGGCCGGGGAAGCGGCCCCCACACCTCCCTTGCTGCGCCGTTTCACTCATTCCCCAATTGCATCCTTGAGCCCAGGTCGCCCCCTTTGAGGCTTCCTCTCCCTCCTCCACTCGCTGATGCGGCAGCTTGAGGACCCAGGACCAGCCCCTCACCTTGGGCGGGATTTGGGGGGAAGGGCGGAGTGGGAATTGGGATGGAGGCTCGAGGAGCCCGTGGGAGGGGCGGGCTGCGCGCGGACATTCCCTGCCTCCCCACCCGCCCCCACCCCATTCCTGCTTGCGGGGCCGCAGGACTCATTCTCCCACTGAGTCACACGCTGGACTCTTCCCTGTGTGACTGAGCCGAGCAGCCGTGGGCCGGGGTGACGGGCGAGGGGAGGTCCCCCTGAAGTGTGAGCGCAGGCCCGCGGTTCTCTGTCTTCCCCTCACGCCCCAGACCTCGTCTCATCCCTTCCTTTCCTCTACTCCAGGTTCTCGTCTGCCGCTTTTCAAGAAGTGTTTGCTGAGACTGCATTTTTGCTGTTCAGGCATTCGGTGCTTTCCTTTCGCACTGCCACGGGCGTTTCACTGCTCAAAATGTAGTTACCCACCGACTCCCCCCACCCCACCCCCCAACATTGGATTTTGGCGTAGGAAGGATTATGTTGGGGAACGAAGCCTTTGGTGGGAAGATGACACTATTTAAGGGGTTCTGGTGGAGACAGCCTCTAGTACAAAGAAGAAATTAAGATATGCGGGCCCTCATCTCTCAAATTATAGCTGGGAAGTGCAGTAGTAAAGGATTTGGCAGAACCAGCCGAAAGCGTTGTTGGGTTCCCGGAAGGGGGAGTCTCCCCCTCCTCCATACACAATAGAGGGAAACTAGTGCATTCCTAACTTGCTTTTGTCTAGAGACTGGGAAGGCTGTGAAATTCCAGCGACCAGTTAATAGCTACTCTGTCAGAAGAAGGGGCCTCTTTCCACCTTGCATTGCCACATCTGGCCTTCTGCAGATCTGGGATGTTTTGTTTTATTAGAACCTTAATTTCTCATTCTACCCCCCCCCACCCCCGCATTGCTAATTGCCTGTGGCAGCTGTCATAGGGCCAGCCGGTGGTTTGTGGTAATTATTACAAGATCCAATCCTCTGTGTGCACCACAAGCCTGAATCCCTGTTTGATCCAAAATGCTCACCGGTGACTTCTCCTTCAGTTTTATTTTCTTGAAAGCTACGAACCCAGGGACATTGGAAGCATGCAATCAGTGCTGTCTATTATTTTTGTTACAGTTGCTATAGCAGTACTGACCAGGGCTTTGCTTCAAAAACAAACCAATCAACAAAACCCTCCACAACTGTCCCTTCTGCATGCATGCTGCTGTTTTCCAAGTGGTAAGGGAAACTGGTTTCTCGAACACAGCCAAGTGTATTTGCCCAGCAAAGTTCAGTTTTTAAACCGACACAATAGGGGGCCTGTGTGGCCTAGTTCTGGGAGGAGGGTCGTTGTCCGGCAGCATGTGTCTGGTTGGACTCTTGTGTTGTTGGGATGAGAGAAGGTTCTCTGTTGATCTCTCTCCACTGGTCCCCATGTCGCTCTGAAGTGCTCCCAGTTTCCAGAGTGTATACAGGAGAACTACTTGCTGAATTCCCAAGTCCCTCATTTTGACGAAGGTATGGCATCATGATACCCCAAAGCGTCCAGCTATTTAGGTCTCTGAGCTGCTTTATTCAGTGGTCCCCCCCTGAGTGTTTATTTGATGATTGGCTCTGGCAGCTGGAAACCCACCCAAAGGCCAAGGGGATTTATCAGTGTTAACAGGAACCAGTACCTCACCCCCTGTCCTCTCTACTGTGACGTGGATTCGAGTCCACCTACTCCCTGAAAAGGCAGGACTTGGGTTGTTTCTAGGGAAGGGAATTTAGGCCTCTGGAGCTAGTTCCCTGGGCCACCACCAGCTAGTTTGGAAGAATCACTTTATCCCGGGGGCCTCAGTCTCCCCACATGAACAAGGAGGTTGGAGTGGATCTCTGCGGGCTCGTGCGGCTCTAAATTCTGTGGCTTAGTGAAGGGGTCTCAGTTGGGTTGAATCAGACATTTGCTATATGTACTCCTGTTTAAGAATGGTTCTAAAATCCAGATTTACCAAATGATAAAATAGGGGGGAAGTGTATTACTCAAAGAATCCTGACGAGAGGGGCAGGGGCAGTGTGGCAGACGGAAAGCCCATGGCTTTGAATTCGGGTCTGGGTTCTGTCTGAGTGACCTTGAGCAAGTCCCATGACTTCTGATTCTCAGGCTTCTCATCTGTAAAATGGGCACGAGACCACTTAAACCTGCAATGTTGTTGTGAATCCGTGAGTCTGCACTCTTACTCCTAAGAGATTTTGCGTATAAACTATCCCTAGTGAGGGTGTAATGACATTCCCACCACAGGCCACCGTTAGGGGAGGTACTTCTATAGCTGGCTCTTATTTACTAGAGGCGGGTGACACAGGCCAGGAAACTGTCCCAGCAGCGTGTGGTGAGCTCAGGCGGGGCAGGGCGATGTCCACTCTGGCTTTCTTTCCTGTTCTGCAGGCTCTTCTCACATACCAGGCCAGGGCCCCCAGAGACAGTGCTTGCAACACTGGATTCCTGGCCTTTGAAGAAGGGTCCAACCAGAGGGCCTGGCTTACGCAACAGTGCCAGACTTCTCCCAGGATGTTAGGAAGCTCAGTCCACTCTGGCCCTTATTAAATAAGCAGTCAGTGCGAGAAGCAACACGTGACATGCCTCTGGAAGTCCCTGACTGGGCCCAGCTGCTGGTGCCTGAGATTCCAGGTTGTGATGGGGTGTGGGGTCCTCATGTCTGGCTGCCCTGTGATGGCTTTTCTGTGTGTAGTGGTCCAGTTTGTATCCAAAAGAGTGAAAGGAGCCAAGATTTAGTGTCTGCCTCCTACCTGCCAGCCAGTGTGCTGGACCCTTCTCAGTCTCCTAAGATTTCCTGGAAATCCACCAATCTTCGTCACACTTCCATTTTTTCTCTCTGTGTGGGAAGGGAGGAAGACGAAATCTGAACCCAGAGTCTGAATCTGTAAAGAGAAGTTGTGAGGCTACTTCATCCTGGCAGAACCTGCTGTCCTGTCTCCATCAGACCCTCCTAGGGGTCTGAGAACTCCACTGAGGCAAGATAGAATGTTCTCATCCCCCCGATGTGCTCCCTCGGGACACCTGGCTAGAGCCCCACACCAGTTCCTTCCCTCATTTATTCATCCTCAGTGAGCCGAGTCTGTGCTGGTCACTGGGGAGACAGTGGTGCCTCGTGAAGATTCACGTTTTGTGAACATTGTAGCTTTGCCCTTTCCCGCCAGCCTTTTAGTGCTTTCCAGAGACAAGCGTGGCCACACTGTCTCCCCACCTTGTGCTCTTACAGAGAAAAGTCCCTGCTAAGCAAGCTGACCTGGAGAAAGGGGTCCCCGAAGGACCTTGCCAGGCCTTGCTGGGGAGGGGACATTGGGAAGCTGTGTAGGTACAGCCACTTCACTGAGGAGTTGCCCTGGAGCCAGGAGGTGCCTGGGGGAGGCCCTGCTGCTACTCAGAAAATGAGGGAGGCTTGCCCTTCTCCCACCTTGGCTGGGGCAGAGGTCCCTGCTGTGTGCAGGACCTGAGCTCTCCCTGTCGTCGCCCGTGCCACCCTCCCTCCCCCACCCACCCCCATGCTGGGAAAGGAGAAGGGTGCCATACATCCTCACAGATCAGGTCCTTGGAGAGTGCATGGACATGTATTCAATCAACAAACCTTCAGTCATTACTAGTTTGCCTGCTGAGCTCCTAGCTGTAGCCACCCAGGCAAAGATTCCAAGGAAGGTAGGATGCTCTCTGGTCTTTGGGGACACTTTCAGTCTAATGGGGAATCAGGCGAGTGAACAGTAGTGACCCCAGGTACCATGGCTTGCTGAGAGTGCTTAGGAATTGGGAATATGACTGAATGGCTGGCGAGTCCAACCTCCTAGTTTTTTGGGAAATATTCCCAGAGTCCTGGTGGTGGCCTGTCCCAGGTCACATGTCCCTGGCAGAACTGAGAGCGAAACCTGGTTTCCCTTTCCTCACCCAGCCACTGCCTTGGAGTGTGGCATTTCTCTGCTTCTACTCTACCACCAGAGTTTTAACTTCCTCCTGGAGGTTTAACTCCCTGCCATCCCTGAAAGGATGTGGAGATGGGGCACCATCCCCTTGGCTGTCCGCTTCTACCTTGGCAGCTTTTTCCATGGTGAAACTTGCCACCAGCCTTCCTCGCAGGCGGCCTGGAGAGGGACCTGCGGTTTCCCGAGGCTGGGGCTGGAGGAAAGCCCTACACATCTGCAGCCCAGGTTAGTGTGAGGGCCAGGAGGCCGCTGGTCTGCTGCCTGGGGACGATGATGGAATGCCTCCTTCCTCTCCAGGTTGGCTCAAAATCCGGGAAAGCCGCATTCCCCTTCGTAAGTATTCTGGACTTGCCTGCAGGCTGTGGTCTGGAGAGGGACCGCAAAGGGCCAGGTCCTTGGCATCAGTGTCTGCAATGGCGGGGAGTGGCAGAGCCTGCGGGCAAGTCTCACTAAGCTATGCTTTTTAACAAGGACACCCTTTTGGAATAGGCTGATTGGAATCTTTCTCTACATTCAGTTCAAAGGGAAAGCTGCATAAGTGCCTTTGGGGTTATGGGAATGAGCTTGGAGCATAATGAGGGCAGACGTGGAAACATTCATGGTCACCTGTTCTGTGTTGAGCTCTCCACTTTCCGCCCTTGGTGTGTGTTGCCACATTTAACACTCGCAAGGACCCTATGAGGTTTTATCTCCGTTTTTCAGATAAGAACATTGTGGCTCGAAGGGATTAAGAGACTGAGTTAGTGGGTGGTTGAACCTGGGTTGACTGATCTTCAGGACTCATGTTCTGAGCTTCCCAACTGCCTGCCTCTAGCAACCATGGTGTGGGATTCTGT